CGGCGGAAAAATTCGATTTTGGCGAAAGTCGACTTTCCCCCCGAAAAAAGGCTAAATATGGCACTTTGGCGCCGGGTGGAAAAAAAAAAGTTTTTTATTTCTGCATTTCTGGGGCAAGTGAGGGGCGCAGTGGCATTAGGCGGGCCAGAAAATACAGAATCACCGTTCACCCGGCGGAAAAATTCAATTTTGGCGAAAGTCGACTTTCCCCCCGAAAAAAGGCTAAATATGGCACTTTGGCGCCGGGTGGAAAAAAAAAAGTTTTTTATTTCTGCATTTCTCGGGCAAGTGAGGGGCGCAGGGGCATTAGGCGGGCCAGAAAATACAGAATCACCGTTCACCCGGCGGAAAAATTCAATTTTGGCGAAAGTCGACTTTCCCCCCGAAAAAAGGCTAAATATGGCACTTTGGCTCCGGGTGAAAAAAAAAAATTTATTTCGACATTTCTGGCGCCTCCGAGTGTTTCATTAGCATCAGAAACCTTAGTCGATATAAAAATTAAGGAATGTAATCGAAACTAACTTTCATTTTTGAGGCCTTGCAGAGGCTCGAATAAGCCTTGACATACTGAGCCTCAATACTCAAAGCCTGGACTAGGCCTGAATTGAACCTCGGCAATGGCCTTGAGCCTCATTTGAGGCTCGAGTGAACGATGAAATCAAGCCCGTCCCAGGCCTGAGTCACTGACCCTCGCCAAACCTAGGCTCGCACAGGCTTGTTTCCATCGTCAGCCTATATAATTCCTACCTCGGTCTCTATTTAGGAAAAATGGGGAAGAAGATGATTTTGCAAGTCTATTCCTTTATCAAAATTTAAAAAAATATATATTTCTCACTTGAAATAACAAGGCTTTTTATGCTGAATACTAAAAATTCTTTCAGCTTCTCATCTTCTGGCAAATGTACGATGTATTACAACCTGCGTATCTTCAAGTCAGTAACTCGGTTCTGGAAACAAGAAACTTTTTTCCTCTGTGTACCTATTTCAAGAGTAATGATTCTCCCTCAAAGAAAAATTCAGCTCTACAGCAAAAAATTCGTTCATCCCCATATTCATTTTAAAATCTCATATCTATTCATTTCATAAAAAAATGAATTTCCCAGTCAAAGACTTTTATTACCCTCGCCCCGTCCGAATACACCGAGGAACTCAGGTAACAACAAAATGAAAAATACACGAGTAATAATATTCAGTAATTGGATCACTCGTAGCCCCATCCCTCCATAAATTTAATATTAAATTTTTCTCGTCATTCATATTCCATCTGCATCTGTTTTTCAGGAGGGGTGAGCAAATACCCCAGGTGTTGGTGGAGCCGAGTGGAAAAACTATTTCCGCGAGCCGACAAGACACAGTGAGTCAGGAATGCGTTAACATCGGGGAGAAAGCGAGTTGTTTACAGGAGAATGGAATTTCGTTGAAGGAACTACCGCGCAAGTGTGATTTTTCATTTCGAGAATCGAGTCAGAACTTCTGTCAGAACAGACATGACATTTAAAGAGCAAAAATCGAAGGAGAAAATGCGAAGATTGAGTTGAGGGACGCCATTTTCGAGTTTTTTTTTCATGACTAGATCAGCCGCGCGTGGGCGCGCGTATTCTCTGCATTACGTGCCGCAGGAAAATAAATATATTAACGTATATATTATTCTATAAATTTGTATTATTATACTATAAACCTAAATTTTATTACAGCATCTTCACTTTTTTTCTGAATTTTCTGCACTTTTTCAAGTTTTCTTTGTAAATGTAGCATAATATTATAGCATATCATATTTATATTAATTTATTTATTTATTCACCTTCGGCGAGCGCTGCACATCTTTCACGGTTCAAAAGACACGTTTACACACTGGTATAAAAATATACGAAGAAAAGAAAAACGATACACTAAGAGAAAAAATTCAGTAGCGAAGCGGCAAAACTATTTAAGTCGACTTAGCTCTTAGCTGAGTTTTCGAGGAATATCTCAAAATGTAAGGGAGATAGCGAAATTTTTGTAAGAACCTTTTTTGTAGAGCGAATTAAGCGCTACAAAAAAGGTCATAACAAAAATGTTGGTATCTACCTTAGATTCCGAGATATTCACTGACAACTGAACAATAGTCGAAATTGACTTGAATTAGTTCTGCCGAAACATTACACATTCCCCTGAAGAGATCTTTTGTCGTGCTGAATCGATTTACTTGTGAACAGAAAAAAAGTAATTGTTCTCGTGAGACACTTCTGATGATCCCGACAAAAATTTAATTTTCGTGAATAACATTTTGTTAAATTTTCCTCAAGTAAATCTGTTCCTCTTCGTCAAATATTCGTCAGAGCAAATTTTTTCTCTCAGTGCAGGCGTAACAGATTTGTTTAAAAAAAACGTTCCATTGGATTTTTTATTGAAGGCACCAGGTCACCCGGGGGATAGAGAATAGAGAATAGGTCAGACAGACAAGCGGAACAATGAAGCTGTCGATTTCGTGTATCGTGGGTTTGGTGATAGTGTTTGGTGAGCCAGATTGGGGGCTGGGATGGTTCGGCGGGAGGGACGTGGTGAGGGGCGAGAGCACTATTAAGATAGGGACCAGTGAGCGAGGCACCCTGTCAAGGGGTTTGAACATTGGTAATCGTCGTGGGGAGTCCCGGGGCTCGGGGGTTCGTCTCGGTGAGAACCGAGGACTGAACATCACGAGGCAGAAGGCACATGTATCCACTACCTCATCCACGACGGCTCAACCACATCTTACTCATGCACCTCATGCTGCTGCTCCTGGCAGCCAAAATATCACGTATCTACAGGTGAGGGAATTAATTTGACTAGCAAATAGCTGTCCTACAATTGTCTCCAAGTTTTTCATAGATAATATTTATAACACTCAACTCTAAAAAAATGAAAATTTCGTGAAATCATTCCTCATTTGATTTAAACAGTTATTGTTGCCTTCATCAACAACGCATGCGGACAGAAAAACTCAATGCCTTATGAGAATGCAATAAATCGACCCATTGAGAATTTTTCCCGGAAATCCATGTCTTGGAATAAACTTTAACCCAGAGCGATTCCCCTCAAAATGAAGTAATGCCAAGACATTTCCCCTCAAGTTGAAAAATCCAAATAATTAATTTCCATGTGATGAAACCGTCTTCAACTGCACCCCAGAAACTAAATACGTAATATCCGTTGTCTTTCTCCATTCATTTTGAGAGTAAAGTCCCTGCCTTTTCATGACACAGTTGACAACGAGCAATCTCATCAAGCTCTCAAACGAGAGAGATTGTTATTGAATCAAGAGTAATATCCTCGATCTATCCCTCGTGAAATTACACTGCGATGACGTCAGCGACTTCCCGAGATTCAAGAACATCTCTCTCTCATTAGATTACATTACGAAAGAAAATGCACAGCTGAAAGAAAATCCACAGTGAACACAGGTTCAAACTTATTCCAACACTTCCACTTTAATCGGATTAATTGAAGCTTTCAGAAAGTGAGGTAGTTGCAAATTCGTCGACGCAAAGCGTCACTCCATCGCGAGAGCAATGAGATTAGCCACTTTGGGATTGAATTCATAGGTAAATCCTCCAGTTATTAAAGGCTATGAATGCAGAAATACCTCATTGATCTGTGTCAATGGCAGAGGCTTCATGCCTGGCACTTACCTGCTCAACATACACCTTCTCCATGGCCCATTCATTCGCAACAATCGATACTACGTGCAACAGGTGGAGAGAGTCTACATATACCTTTGATTTGAAACGATAATGAGCATTGTAAAAATTTTAGTTTTCTCCAAATTTTTCTTGAATAACAAAAAAAAAACAGACATTTTCCTCGAATTTTCTACACAGAAATGTTCAGTAAAAATTACGGAACTCTGACTTCACTCACCGATTACGGAATCGACTCAGAAAATTTAAGTGATGCTATCGTAATTTTTCACAAGAGATTCAGATAAAAATTACGGAACGCTCCGGAAAAATTCCGTGACAGTTCCGTAAAATTTCCTACAACCACATTTCGCTCCGGAATTACAGAAAAGATACGTAATTTTTATTGAATATTTTTCTCCGTGTATGAAACCAAGAAATTATCGGTGAAAATTCGTCGAATTGAGTTAGAGAATTCCCAAAGAAGTCATGTTACCGGACGAAACTTACATGTCCCCTAACCCGATAAATTCCCATTTTGCCTCACCATTACGTTAACCCCGTCAAGTCATGAATTACAGTTTCCCATTGTACACAAACGCAGTTTGGAAAGTTAGCGTTAGTCCTCAAACGCGATAAAATAGGGCCAAAGTCCATGAGCATCTCGTACATTGCAACAAGCCATTAGTTGATTTTCCCCCGGTGATAGTGGAGGTAAATTTATAATCGGTTTTGGTTTAACAGGTGGGCATGGTCGTGCCGTACAAGGCATTTGGCACTCGTGAATACACGAAGGCAGCCACCACGGCAATCAGTGTGCTTCAGCGGAGCACAAGAGGACCAAAACTAGGACTATTCAGTCACTACGACATCCATGTTCACATAACCATGAAGGAGCTCACACCGAGTCCAACTGGTGAGTCGACGATATTTTGTTCTATCTGAGGCACATGCGTAATCATGGGGTCACTTGCCGGTGAAATCGGCAACGGAGAAATTGAAACGACTTGTATTAAACTATGAAATTAATATGTAGTGGAGAATATTATGAGCTGTCGTTCTGAGAACCGTTGAATAAAATCCCCGAATAAAACAGGCAGGGAAACAAAAATGAGGCAATCCCTCAACCACGAATCTGTGACATTCTAAAATTGAGAACATTTTCTATTTTGACATCGCCTGCCCTATTTTTTCGACAGCAACCTTCTTCTCGAGTGTGATCGATTGAAGAAGAGCATTCAGGTAGTTCGTACTATTATGATCACGACAATATAGAAAGCTACAAGACGTTATAACGTCTTCACTGACCAGGGGAATTGACAGGCCGTAAAAACGAATAGGAGTGACATCCGAAGATCGATAACCCGAGGCTTTTCGAAGGAACACTTCCTGTCGGGAGTTTGACTCAATGGTGTTTATAGGAGCTCGTAGTTGTGCTCGAGTTATACGAAAAAGTTTCATAGAAAAATCTGGAGAATTCAGTAGAAAATTCTGTTGGATTTCTATTGGAATTCTCTTAGTTTATCGTCGATTCTGAAAAAATTGCGCAGCTTTTCTGCATTTTTTCTTCATAGATTATTATTCATACGTGATTATTTAAGTTCTATTGAACTTAAATGTTCAATAGAAAATATTTTATAGAAAAAATTAATAGACTTCTATTGTTCTGTGGAGAATCCAATTTGTTCCATTCGTAAAAAAAAGGAAATGGAAGAAATTTAAATTTTTGATTATAAAATTACATGATGAACAAAAATCTAGGAAGGAAGAATTAATTAATATTGCGCACAATAAACATGAGAAAAAAAATTATTTGCGCCAAATATCCATTTACTAATTTATTTATAGAGAGCAGTATTTATTTTTTCAATGCCGTATTTCTCCAGTCGAGTCATTCCCAGCGAATTCTCCTTAGGTTTCAATTATGACAATTATATTGCTCTAGAAAATGATCATGGTAGTTATTAGCTTGAGTGAACTCCCTCAATAATTATAAACCTTAGAAAATTCAGCGAAATTCTTCCCTCTAGAAAATAAGAAATTTAGGAAAATTGAATAATCATTGGAGGAGTTCATCCAAGGTCATATGCAACATAGTCATCCTCTAGAGCAATTGAAACCTAATCAGGCTCGCCTGGGAATGACTCGACTGGACAATTACCAGTTTAAAAAAATGTTTCTCTCAAATAAATGAATATTTGACAAAAATAATTTTTTTCCTCAGTGTACGTGAACCGTTATTTAGAAATCGGGCCAGTTGAATCGAGCCATTACTGCATGATAAATGTTACGAGCAGGAATTTTTCGGATTATCGGGATAACATGAGGAATAAACCGTCTCCCGAAGGGTCGATCTGCCGCGAAATTAGGGGTTATTCAGTCCTCCCCGTTCGGCATTTCCCCTTTGATAAGGGGTTAGTCCTCGGGATAACTTTTCTGTCGTGTTTCTCCCTCTGGGGGATGGATCGTCAAAGGGATTCAAGGGTCGCAGACCGAATGAAGAGAAATCGTACATGCGAAGGGAGAGCGTCACCAAATGTGTCACGAAGAGTTGATACAAGTCTTATTTGCGCTTTCGGGTCTGCTAAATCCTATTATATTATCAAGTAAAAGAATTAGAGGAATTCAAACATTCGTTATCCCCCGTACGGACCCTAATGAGCCAAAGTTAGTCATCCGTGTCTCATTTTGGATTAAATTTCCCGTCTTCTGAGTGACGCCACTCACAATCTTTGTGCTTATCAGCTTAGGGTGGTTTGAAATATTGGAGAATAATCCCGCCTAAAGCTACGACAGTAGTTCAAGAATTTGGGGACAACGAGGCGGGTTCTTCTGGGGATCAGCTAACACCCCATCACGTTCAAATCGCTCCGCTGCCTTTATTATCATTCATTGGATTTATTGGCTAGGGGTGCAGGAGCAATTTGCAGTCCGGTTACAAAAAAACAAGCGTCATTTTGAGATTTTGGATTTTAAATTGAGACTTACAGAAAAACTCAAATAAAACTGAAGAGAAAAACGTTTTAATTGAGTTCCGAAAATTCTATCTGGGAGCATTCAAAAGGGTCAACTTGAGTCTATGAAAATCTGAATTTGAAACTGAAAAGTTTCAAATTAAGAAATTCCAAAGTCCTAGATTCACATCTTTAGGATATCCAACACGGAAAAAAATATATTTGTGTTGAGTATATTTTATGCTAGAATAAAGTATATTATTCTTGATTGGAGTGTAAAATATATTTGATTCAAGTATAATATATTTTATACTCAATTCAGGTATTTTTTTTTTCCGTGAGGTATTTTTTACAGTTTCGGAAAGATATAAAAACAAATTATGAATATTTAATGTCATTCCAATTACATTTCGCACAGAATTATAATTTTTTTAAACATTCTTTGTTTATAAATGAGTAATTAAAATTGTTTAAACTTCCGGAAACCTTATTTTTTAAACACGAAATCGTTGTCCGATAAAATTCTGAATGTGAATGAATTCGTTATGATTCCGAATGGGTGATTTTTATACAAAAAAAAAAAATTATTTATAGAAAATGCTCGAAATTTCCAAAAATTCCACTTTTTAAATTATTTCACAATTTAAATTATTATTATTTTTAAATTATAACTTAAATGGTAAAATCTTTGTAAAATATCCGAAAACTTAGGGTCAAATGGGGCTCAAACGAAAGCTCTGGTGTTCGACTACAAAAGTAGAAAAGCATTTCACTGGAGAAAAAATAGCAAAAGCACTTGAAGATCCTTAAGACATTCAGTCTTCAATTTAACTCTTGAAAACCCCATTTCAAGCCATTTAAAATTTAAAAATAAGGTACTATTCCTTGGCTGTACGTTCACACAGAAAGAAAATTTTTTATCTTCAGGGACATCATCACTTTCATTTCCCTAATTTCTAATGTCCAGAAATTTTCGCATTCCTGCTGCTAAAAAATTTAGAATTTCCTTCCCCTCTGATCAAATCAATCGCGCGACATTAGGAGATCCCCAGAATGAATAGCAATTAGGAACTCTAAATGATGACTGCAAAGTGATAACGAAGTGGAGGACTATGCGGTGGGAATGACGGACACTTTTTCCGCATTTTTCTTCACACAGTGCAGGATGCTACGGTACGTACCCCCAGGGAGGAAAAAAGGTGACTCGCTTCAGTCGCATGCGGCATACCAATTGACGTTAATTGCCTATGGAAAAACTCGTGAATACAGCGGTTGAAAAATTACCAGGTGCTCCAATTCACGTGCAAAAATAATGGAATTTTCGTCACCAATTGCACTGTGATCATCACCATAGTTTGCGGTAATTTGTTTTGTCGTTCCCACAAAATTAACTGTTCTACAATTAATCAGGCAATAATATGGCGAGCCTGGGGCACCCGCCTTTCGTGCCTCCATTTCAATTTGCGATTATCGAAACATTATGAGCAGAGAAAATTTAGTGGAAATTACGCGACACTCCAGTTAATGTGAACCGAACAGCCGCTCCGCCAATTCTTTCTCCTCTTTTATTCGACTCTTTTTGTCGATTTTTCGCTGTCATCGGAATCGCGAATATATTTCTTGCGAGAAGTTTTTTAGCAGCGCTAGCCGTTTATGCAAACGGTAATTTTTTACGGCGGGGGGTGCGTCAATATTGTCTCTTCAACCGTTAATTGCTTGCGGAGAGACGAATTATGATGAAAATTGCCTGAAATTAATTTGAAGTTTTTAAACGTGTTGGTGGCTTTATTCTAAATTTTTGGAAACTCTTCACTTTTTGGGAATTTTTATTGAAGGACAGTTTCACTTGAATTGTAAGGAATTGAAAATGATAATTTAGTAACGAATATTCATGTTTTCTCTTAATAAATTCGAACCCAACGAGATTTTTTTCTGTCACCTCATAAATAAATATAAATATTAAATAAAAATAACATAATATAATAAATAGAAATACAAATATTCCAACCATTTAATGCCCGATTAACCTCATTATTTCTTCTTGCAATTCAAAAACAGTTTTCCATATTCTAAAAAAAATCAAATTCAAAACTGGAGTTTCCATAGTCTAGAATTTTTTCCTCGACTCCATAATTTTTTCCTCTCGGTATAAAACTTCAAGGTAATTTCAAACAAATAAATAAATCGACATAACCTTCGCATTTACATTGCGCACGAGCGATAAAAACACCGACAAGCCTTGAGAAGTTGGTTTTATCCATAATTTCCTTTGCAAATGAATGCAAAACTGGGAATCACCAGGGGACATTCTCGTGACATTACCGGACGTCGGGCGTCGGGAGGTTTTTCCATCATAAAAATGACATTACGGACTTTTCCCTCAACACCTATCATCATCATTCCCGGAATTGACTACTTTGTTTGGCATTCAACATTCAAATAAAAATAAAATGAATGTACGAATGGCTGAAAAAAAATTCACACTCAACCGCATGTCGTTGAATGCGAATGGCGCATTTCCGGTGAATCTGTGGATAAAAATCACACGAGTGTAAATATGCGGTGACGGTAGTGAAAGAGTCTATGGAAGTGCTCGTTGGATGCTATTGAACGACTCCAGAAACGGAATCAAAAACAGCGGCTGCCGTACCTGTCCCACAACCGCAGAAATGGTCAGGCGGAAGTAGTAATGAACGGTAACGATCAGCCGCACAGAGCCACTGGGATTTCCGTGGAAATCACCACAATAACTCTTTCGTCCAAACTTCAGCTGTTTTTGCTATCAATTCAGGGGGATTTGCACGGGTTACGATCGACTCAATAGTTTTTGAAGTTTTTATTTTTGTCAAAAGTGTTAAAATGTTTACTTTTGCCAAGGTCATGACCTTAGCGACGTTTGATCCTTGCGAGGTATGACCCTGCTGATGTTTGATATGCTCTCGTAACATTTCACCTTAAAACG